AGAATAAGGTAATACATAACTTATTTGTTCATTAAATTGAGTATCTGTTGATAAAGATGTCATTGGTAATATTTCAATATTCCATGTAAATGAAAATTTACTTCCTTTTCCTAATTGACTTTCTACTTTAATTTCACCTCCATTAATTTCTACTAGCTTTTTACAATTTGAGAGACCAAGTCCTACACCGTCTTGCTTCTTAGTTATTGACATGTCACCTTGTGAAAAACTTTCCCAAGCATGCTTTATATATTCTGGGTTTATTCTATTATAGTATTATTAAATAAATTATATAATGCTAAAATATAAATTATATAATCACAAGTAATTAAAAGTAACTTACCCAATACCGGTATCACTTATTTCAATTATCAACATTTCTTTTTTAACCACTTGATTGTGTGTTGAATCCTTTTCCTCAATGAATTCTCGTGGTTGTATTGAAATTGTCAGTACTATTTCGCCTTCATTAGTAAATTTAACTCTAATGAATTAAAATGAGGTATTATATATAAATAATTATAGGTTATAAAAAAATAAAATCATTGCTATAGTCCATCACCACACGGTTTTTCTAAAAACATGATTCTAGAGAATCATAAAAAAATAAAAATCATATGGTAATGAATAATAGCCATCAAAATAAAAAAAGAATAATTACGAATTTGATAACAAATGGGTTAAAACTTGGTTTAACCTGTTTTAATAAGAGATAAGATGAGTAAGAATTATATATTACTATACTAGTTTAAAATTTTTTATATAAATTATATTGGTTAAATCACCTCTCAGGATCACTCTTAACATATTTTGGTAACTCATCTACCTCGCAATTCACAATTAATTCAATATTTTTAGCTCCAGCTTTTTTTCCAAATGTGTCGATTGTGCTATCAAGTGAATTTAATAAATCAAAAGTTCTATATATTGGAATGATTTTTTTCGCTTCTAGTTTTGCTGCATTAAGGATATCGTTAACTATAGATAGCACAACATCAGCAGCTTTTGATATAATACTAAGCATGTCCCTTTGATCAGTAGTCAATAAGGTACCTTCTAAAGAAGAAGTAATACCTACTATTGCACCTAGAGGTGTGCGTAACTCTAAAAAAAAGATTAAAAATGAATTAAAATAAAATTAAGGATAATTAATATTAAAGTATATGAAATGACAAAAAATTGATACCGTGAGAAGTATTTGCTAATATTTGAGACTTTGCATTATTAGCAATTTCAGCAGCTTTAATTAGAATATCAATTTCACCAATCTCTTCCAACAACTTTGCATAAGTTATAGCTAAACTTATATGATTTGATATTTGTTGTAATAATTCTACTTCAGAATCGTACCAAATAGAATTTTGAGATCTATATACTTTTATCCATCCCCAAAAATCATTATTTAACCTAATTTCTGCAGATAATGTAGAAACATTTTTATGAACATCATCACAATATACATCTAAAGAAATATTAACGCCTGGAATTTCAATTTGGTTTGTAAACTGTTGTAAATTATTATTGTAATCAATAAATTCCGAAAATGGATTAATTATTTGTGTTAAATCCTCCGATTCATTTTCGCTTGGAACAACTATATTATTTCTCTTAGATGGCTCATTCGAAATAATAATGATTCTTTCACATGGTAATCTACGGTAAATTTCTTTTGTAATATAAAGTAATGTTTTATCTAAATCTGACTCGGAAAGAATCATGTTTACTATTGAAAGTAATAATTGTTTTATATCTTCTTGTTTATATTGATGAAATGATATTTTACGACGAAGAATTGAACATTCAATATTAGCACGAATACGGGAAATTAATTCTCGAGTTGAAAATGGTTTTACAATATAATCATTTGCTCCTCTATCTAAACCTAAAAATAAAGATATTTAAAAAAAACTCCCGATAAAGAAAAAGTAACTACTAATAAATTAATAGTGTAATTTAATAATTTAAGCTTACCTTGAATTTTAGAAGTTTCAGAAGCATTTGCGGATAATAAAATTATGGGGATTTGTTGAGTTTTCACTTCAGATCTCAATACATTTAATAACTCATATCCGTCCATATTTGGCATCATGACATCTATGTATTAAATTCAAACCATATAATTGAAAATAATTATTATATATTATATATTATACTATACACGTGATAAAATTACAATATTAATTACTTACCGCTAAGTATTAAATCAGGTAATTTTTTAAGCGTTTTTAAGGTTCGTATGGCATCTTGGCCATCACAAGCACAATATACATCAAATTCTTTTAATAGGTCTGCCAAACAATTTCTATGAAATAAATCAATAATAAGAAATAAATTTTATACAGATATAGCTCTTTTTTTGACTAGTAATGAAAAAATATTACCTCATGTCATTATTATCATCAACAATCAAGACTTTATATTTTCTATTGTTTGTTGCTATTTTATTAGTACTAACATTATCAATTTTCTGATTATCGATTGAATATTGACTAATATTAACTTCTTGAGTTTCAGATATACTATATTTCATCCATTGAGAACTTTCTTCTAAATAAAGCTGTCGATTATCGTATAATTCCCGATCATGACTTTCATAACTTATTTGATTTTCCACTTTATTAGAGTGTATTTTATCTGTTAATAAATGTTCACTTCCTATTGGAAACCAACATTTAAATGTCGTTCCTTGATTTACTATAGAAGTAACAGTGATATCTCCACCGTGAAGTGTAATAAGTTCTTTGACAAGAGCAAGTCCTATTCCGGTACCTTCATGACTACGTGCATCTTGAGATTCTACACGATAAAAACGCTGAAATATATTTGGAAGGGCAGATTCCGGAATACCAACTCCTAAATGATGTATATCAGTATAAATATTAAATCCAGATTCGAAATTTATTAATTAAATTTATTAAATATTATTAACCTGTATCTGATACTTCAAGGACTACCATCTTTTTTTTCTTGTCCATATAGTCAAGAGATAATCGAACGGTTATTTGTCCATTCCAAGTATGCTTGAATGCATTTGAACCTTATAATACAATAATAAGCAAAATAAATTAGTAAACTATTTTCTAAACATTATAGTAAATTTTAACTTTTTTTTAAAAAAAAAAAAATGCTTACAAAGATTAAATATGATCGTTTCATACATATCACGGTCCAAATAAATTTTATCACCCACATCAAGATTAAATTCATCTGGATTTGGAATGTCAATATTATAATTCAAATCTAGCGTTTTAGCCATGCTTTTAAAGTCTGAGGCCAATTCATGAGTAAATTCAGCTATATTTGTTTCACAATAATGTACTTTTAATTGATTAGTTTCTATACTTGAAAACTATTATAGGGAGTATATTAATAAAGATAATTACATATTAGCAGTTGCGATATTTTTTACATATATAACATACTTGTAATAAAGCATCAATAAGTTTAAGTAATCGATGAATGTTACGACGTATAATTTGAAGATACGACATTATTGGCGTTTCTTGAGTACATGTATTAATTACGTCATCGAGAGGTGATAGCATTAAAGTTAATGGTGCTAAATATTATGAAAGAAAAGAGATAAAGAGATGAGAATTATATAAATACATTTTTAAAAGAGTATATTTATATTAATACTTTTTAGTTCGTGACCGATTCCTTGAAAAAACGTAATTTTTTGGTAATTCAAATCAGCCAATAATTTAGTTTTATTCTTTTCATCTTCAACAGACTTTCCATGTTGCAAAAGTACATAGATTTGATTTGTGACCAACTAACAATTATAAAATATATAGATATTTTAATACAGTAAATATAAAAGTATAATGAAAAATAATGATATGCAATTATTACATACGTTGAAAAATTCCATATATCGATCATCAAGTGCGCAAGATCGACTAATGCCATAAATTAATACAACCGATATAGCATGATCATTATCAAGATAAATTTTTATCGAGAAGAGTACAGCCTGAGATTCGTCATTTAAAAGAACTTTTACATTTTTTCCTTTCTTTAATAAAGTGTTTATTGGCCAAGAATCGCATTTTAAGAACGAATAAGTTCTAGCACTTCGTTTTAATTCTATATATGTACCATAGTTCTTATTAGCATCTTTAGCCAAATCAATTATTTCATGGGTTTCTGGTAAGTAATCAGGAATATGTCTTTTTTCTTTATCGTCCTCATCAAAAGTCGTAGCGATTAAATGAGCGATTAAAGGTTCAGAACTAGTATTTACTTTATGTTTTACAAAGTAAATGAGTGTATAAGGAATATCTTTATTGTTTCTTAATGTTTTTGTCATAATATGGCAAGCACTTTCTAAGGACTCAATATCTTTGAGAAATATTATGAAAAAACAAAGTATATTGATATTAATAGATAAAATTCCATAAATATAATAATCATAACGATAATCAATTATATGAGTACTAACTAGAAGTAAGATGACCAAATTCTTCAAGTAGTTTAAGTCTTCGAGTATTTAAAACTTTTTGAGTAGTTTCTTGTGATAGACTCCATATAGCACATATTGTACCATCAGATTTAAAAATTGGACTATATGTATAGGTAAAGTAAGCATCTTCATCATATCCATCACGTTGTAATATGCAATGTTGATCGTGTCCGAAATAACCTTGGCGGGTTGTAATTACACTACATATATTACAGCATTGCAATTCAAGGGAAATTTAATATTATGAATCAAATAATCTTAAATTAAATAATCTTAAAAGTTACTGAATCACTCACCCATTAAGTTCTTCACTCATATTAACCTCAAATATTTCAGGCCAAATATCTTTAATTGGCTTTCCTAATGCTATTTTAACATTTATAACGATACCATGTTATTTAGTGTTTACTATAAACGTATATATAGTATGAAATGATATAGCTAACCGGGGTGTTTTGTTTTTAATATTGGTGCAAAAGCTATGAGAAATATGAGCAAATAGGATTAGATACTGTACTTATGGTAATTAAATAGATTAAGGCAAATAACCCATAAAAATTGGGGTACCTTTATTATAAAACAATAACCAATTTGGGGGATCGAAATAGATACTCATAGGAAACTCAATTCTGAGGCATAAATTCTAACATTAAACATTAAACATATTATTTTTAGAAATGTCTAAGTTTTACGAATTTAAAAAAAAACACATGTACGAATTCGAATTACCGCAGCATTTCTGAGGACAGGATCCCAAGTATCCATAGGACCAAGCGGAGTTGAAGACCAGTCATAATTGTAGACCATGTCAATAAAATTTGAATTCTCACTTTTGCTTGACATTATTTCTATTGTTTAAAAGTGACGATATACAATATATATTTAGTTAATTCAATGAAGAGGAGAATTACTAATTACGTATTAGCTTGATTATTCATGCATTAACGTTAATAATTAGGAAACTGTTAATAAGTTTTTTTTTTTTCAAGGATTGATTTTATCCTAGCAAAAAGTTGTATAGTTCCCCATATTCAGCGTTTATATTTATATATTTAATTAATAATTATATAGTGGATAGATTTCAGGTGGCTTTAATCATTATGTTTTAAACCAAGCTTTTCATTGGTTTTTTTTCAAATTTTTACGAATTTTCACATCGACTTTATTATTATTACGTACGTACATACTTTATGTATGTACTTACGTAATCTCTGTATACAATAACTATAACTGTTATTATTATTATCATAATGGTATAATTAATCATTTGCTTGTTATACGTACTGTACATACGTACGTACAATATATCATTACACAGAATGGAGTTATTAGGTTTGATCACTTCTTTATTCGGAATGTACCTAATACGTATATTGTAGCCGATATATAACCGATAGAGTTTTTATAGTGAATGTTTGTTAATGAAATAAGATAAAATTGTAATCAAGGATTTGGCCAAGTTCCGACTGAGACAAAAAACAAAGTTTTCCGGATATACCATTTTCCGAAGCCAAATATCTCTGCATTTCCACAAACCTTTTAAGTTTATTGTATTACATCTATTTTCATAATTCTCTGAGCACTTGATAAAAATTAATCGTATGATTTTTATAAAGTTACATTTAATTCATTGTATGTATATCTAACTAACATGTTTGGTAAGTAGTTTAGTTTGTATGAGAATTATGAAAGAACAGCTCTTGTCATCCAATAAACCTTAGCAAGAAATGTTGAAATATTTTGAACATAAAAGTGTACATAAATACTACTTTTTCGTTGAAAGTGTGACTTATAGAAGGTCTACTAATGCCTAAGTGTTTGGTAATTTTCGAATTGATAAACTTTTGGATTACTGTATTTACATAGCAAAGATGCTTTAAAGTATCATATTTCTATATTAAACAGAGATATAAAATTGTCAGTTCTGTGATCTACACTCAGATCTGATTAGTCAGACAAAAAAAAAAAAAACTGCGTGACAAGATATAAACTGGTACTGCTCATTTCACCGACAGCCATTTCATCAAAGTTCATTTAACTAACATAACATAGGGTTAGGATTAACATTTAAGGCATATTTTTGTAATTGACACTGGCGAGATCTCGGCTATCTTTCGGTGAACCGATTTTAGGTGATAAGGCGGATTTGATATAAACAAATAAGTATATTTTAGTAGATCTTATAAATTTGGCGCGTAAGATCCCAAAGATCTAAAGAATAAATGCAAAAAAAATTTTTTTGAACCTTGTGTAAAATTTATAACCGATTACGTAATTATTACGTAATTTTAGCCAGAATTATTTTGTATTTTTAACCCCAAAAATGGTATGGGAGTATTTTTTTCCCTAAAATTGTGAAACGTAGAGTATTATCCGAGTCAGGTGACTGTACGGGTCACCGGTCGAAAATTGCTCTAACCCGGGTAAACGGGTCAGAATTCATACAAGTATGCAAAAACCTACTAAAATGCATATCGATATTACGCAATTTACCTAATTAGAATTCCAATCTGGATAAATCCGTCATCCGTTTATCCGTTTCGAACGTTCAGATATCCGGATAAATGCTTAATGGATTAGAACTCCCCACCTAATATAGTTATATGGATAGAAGACATTATAATTTATTGAATAGTAAAGCTCTTATCCGGGTCGTTTGATCTGTGCTGGTCAGCTTCTTGAAGGGTCACGTGTTCCCAAAGAACAAACTCAAATCACGAGTAGATCGAAAAATTTTCAATACAAAATCCGAAAAATCCAGTTTAAATATTTGGAGTACAGGCTGTTCTCTATACTAACAGCTCTAATTGAGAGTCGTTAATCAATTTTTAATTAATAATTAATTTCGAATTTCCGTTTGACCCGTTGATCCGGATTATAATACCTGACCCGCTTGTGCAAGATCTTTAGTGAAACATTGATTGTCAAATTTACTTTTATCTAACATTTACAAACCATTTTGAGTGTCTAATTAGGGTGTGCAACGGCCTATAGGCAGGGTCACTAATGATCATCACTAATTGCGGATTTTTTATTGGAATCGATGCACACATATTAATATTATTAAAACAAAGTTTAGATTTATTGGAATAAATTATTAACTAAATAGAATACTATATATTTTTTTAAAAATTGAACCTCAAGACTAGCTCTACACTGAAATAAAGCCAATTTTTTTAATATTTTATAAAAAATATTTAGAACACTAATGATTAGTTTTTTTGGTTTCGATTATTAATATTCTTTTACTTTTTAAAAAAAAAATTAAAAAAATAGCTCTATTTCAGTGTAAAGCTAGTTTAGAACTTCAATTTAAAAAAAAATTTATTTCAATAAATGTAAATTTATTTTGGTAAAATTTATAGCGATAATCATATTAATGTGGGGTTCGATTACAATTACAATCTTACATTTTTCATGTAATTTTGTGTAATTTTGCGAGTTTCAAACCTTTTTACTAATTACATGGAACTGTTTTACCAAAATCTACACAAATTTACGTAAATTTACGGTAATTTTACAACCCTATTTACAATACGTATTAATTATATTAGGTCATTCAAGCTTAATAGATTGATTTCCATTACTTTAAAATCCCGAAAGCAATTTTAATACTATCAGGATTTTATTTTCTGGATTTTGAGCATAGTATCAGGATTCTGAGGCAAAACCAAAAATTACCATTAGAAAATCCGCAATTAGTGATGAGCACTACTAACCCTGAATATATAATTTTAATAGGCCGTTGAACACCCTAGCGTCTAATGTATACTCAACAAGTTACGCATCTGCGCTAATTTTGTTTATTGGACCTTTTTCTGGACACTAAAACTTATAAAATCTGATCAAAAATCCCCTAAATTATTAATTTTTGCCCATATATTAGACAGTCAATTGACGTGTATATCACTATAAAGTACCCTAAACTTAAAAAATTACATATTAAAGTTTGCGTCCAACCAATTACCCAACCCTTTAACCAATTACTTTTTTCTCCAATCAAATCAATAACAAATCGATTACTTTTATGTTTATTTGTGCCGATGCGATAAATGATATATCAGTCAAATAAAAATCCAACCATTACCGGTCGGCCAATACCCTTTAAATTTTGGGGTACAAACAAAATTAGCGCATATGTCTTAATGACAAGCTCGATTGATCGATTAAAATTACTTTCCGTTAATTAAAATTTAATTCCCGACACATTTTTAACATACTTTGATCTATTAATTGAGGCGTTTGAGAACACCCTTAAACTGTTGATTGTAAAGAAATTTTTTAATTAGGTTTTTTAGGTAGCAACCGAACATTACGAAAAACAGAAAAAGTATGTTCAAGCATTTAATTCTATAAATATCATCATCAATTATGATGCTTAAGCGTCATCACGATTATTATCTGATCAATTGATTTAGATGCTTGAGAACAGCCGAAATTATGGCAGCAAATTTTTTTAATATTTTTCGCCATTGCACTTCAAACCGGAGAAAGACGAAATTATTTTCGTTTGCCGAAATTATTATAGACTGTCAAGAATTATTATGGTTATCATTATTATTATGGTATTAATGTACCGGGTGAAAAGTCCCTGAACAAGGTCCTTTTTTTTCATTTTAATGTTTAGTAATCGTTGCAATAAAATTATAATACCAAGGCAACGCAAATTTAATTTATTGGTTCCGTAACATGAAATTTTTTTAGACCCATAAATTCTGACCGACCGAATATTTGTCAATTCGATAAGTTTGATTAGGCAGTTATCATTACCGAAATCATAACTTATCGAATCGACAAATATTCGGCGGTCAATTTACGAAAACAGCTGTAAAACATATAAATAACTTTTTTATAAAATTTTTAAAATTTGACCCGGCCGAGTTACGAGAATCAATTAATTAGCTTTACATGGTCTAATGTATAATTTTTTATTTTTATTTTTAATAATTTTATATAACTATGTCTTATTATACGGTTAAAGAACATGCAGAACTTGTAATGATTTAAAGAAAATACTTCACGAAAAATCGCTAATATATACGTATTGTACACATTTAACATAAATATGAAAATATTAGGAGATAGTAAAAAGCCCTTATACAAGACCTTTTTTTTTTTAATCATTGATATATTGTATTTTTGATTATCATTTTAACGGTTACAATCAGTGTTGGCACTGGACATATGTCCAACTATTTTTATGCTATTGGACTGGACTGAACGTTGGACTTGGACATATGCCCAGTCCAATATGTCCAATAATGATTATATGTTGATTTATATATTATTGTCCAATACTTTTTGGTCCAATGGATTGGACTGGACTGGACAAGTGTGGTCCAATGTCCAATTGTCCAGCCAAACACTGGTTACAATGGTTTGTACATTATATAATAGATGTTAAAAATAGCAAAATAAATATTAACAGAGACAGTAAAAAGATCCCTGTCCAGGGACTTTTCACCCAACCGGTATGTAGACTGTTGAAATTATGGCTTTTATTATTTCATTCGATTATTGCACTGAGTACACAAACTTTGAGAGGAGGTAATTCGCTAGATGAGCTTCATAAGGAGTCGATCAATAGATTTGATAGTTTTTATGGAATCGCGTGTTTCAATTTCCCTAAAAATCTAGGTTTAAAATATATTTTTTTTATAAAGCTGCCTAATCACAATCACAATCATATTATACTTATTTATATACATCATGTGGCTTTTCTTATCTTTAAGAATATATTATATATTGACCTACAATCTTTTCCGGTGTGTAATTTTATTTCACCAAGAGATTATCTCAAATTATACATTATTTGAACCGATATATGCATGGTAGACAAATTTTACATAACTGAAACATACATGTGGATCAATTTTCATCGATTTTGACGGGTTATCAGTTGGTTTTCAATTTTATGTAGATCATCTATATATAATAAATTAGGGATGAGAAATGACTTGGTGCACCATAAGCATAGCAGAATTTCTTACGATTGAATCGTAAGAAATTCTGCTATGCTCGCACCATATGCATTTAAGCCAAATTTGGCACAAACGTTAACGCTAATATAAAAACTACAGTACTCTAATTTAAGTTACAAATATTTTAACAAATCACGTGTAATTTGTTGCTACTCAGTTGTAACTTTTGTCCAGAGCGTAGCGAAGGACATTGGACGAGTAAAGTGCATCAAAAGTGATGCATCATAGTGATAAAAATCAAGAACATAACTTTGAAAAGATGTCTGCCCGCACACGTGGCTAAAGTTATATTTTGATGCATGGCTATATTCGATAATTGTCCGGAGCGTAGCGGAGGACTTTTAATGTTTTAGTCATGGTGATACAAAGGTTACGTTTTTGATACATCAAAAGTTATGTTCTTGATTAATTCATTAGATAATTATACTGGTGCATCAAAAATGTAAATTTGAAACTTCATGTCTGTCCCACGCGTGTCTATATTTGTACTTTAGTGCAGGGCCGATGATTTTCTGTGATTCACAGAAAACAGCAGAATTTCTCTTAATCACAGCCAGCCACAGAAATCACCCTTAGTCACCGCAGAATATCACAGAATTCCAAGAAATACGAAGAATATCACAGGTTTCAAAATATATCTGACCATAAATTCAAGCAGGCATCGTGAAATGCTGGAATTAGTTGGTTTGAAAAAATTTATAATCGCATTAGATCACAGAAATTACAATATGATATCACATAATTGCAAAGAAATTCTAAATGTTATCATCACATTAAATCACAGAATTTGTCTTAACCACACGCAGAATTTTAGTCTTAACCACCATCGGCCCTGCTTTAGTGTAACAAAAGCACATCACGCGTTTGTGCAATATGATAATTATCATGTGCTCCGCCCATTAGCCTAGTTTTGTATTTCATATCCGCACGCGTAACTGAATTTGTACCTTAGTGTAACAAAAACAAAATACAAAACACACAATGTTACGCATTAACCTAGTCTAACAATACATCCTACAATATTTCTGATTAACAAATAAATATATGTGTCTTTTAAAATACAATTAAGAGTACATATTACGTGTCTTTTTTTTTTTTTTTTTTTTATTTTGCAATAGTATAATTAATTTGGAAATTAATAAAAATTTTGCTATAAATTCAAAGATTAATTGTATTGAAATCTAGAGATAACTCTGTCCTGAAAGACTATCAAAAAAAGAATGCCTCGTGAACAAATGCAATATGACAAATTTTATCTGGAAGATGTGATATCACAAAAGCCACATATATGTACCTCGAAAGTACAGAGAAATTTCTTTTTCGTAAACTTAGGCGTTCTGAGATTTCTCAAAAAGAATATAAATTTCGAACAGAGGAAATCGATGGTCTCAAACTAGCGATCAAAAAATTGCAAAAAGAAATCAAAAGTTACCAAGAAGAAATTGATAGACTAACCAAAGAAAATGAGGACTTATACGGTGAATAAATAACCTCAGTGAGAATCTCAGTTTAAATGAAAACAACAGTGAATTAATGAGGGCAAATCAAAAGAAGATAGACTCGTTGAGAGAAGTTCGAAGAATATTTGAATCATATAGGAAAAACTAAGAACCAGGTAAGACAAAGTTTTATTATTTACTTTGTTATTTACTTCGTCAGTCATAAGTATTTTATTTATTATGTGAAATTGTTAAATAAAATAATACGATTGCGCCCGATTTCAGATAAAATAAGTGCCGTATTTATTTCAAAATAAGCAACGTACAAATTCTATTTTTTTTAAAGTATGTACTTATTTACATAATCGTTTACTGATGAATGTTTTTCAAAAAAAAAAGCTAAATTTTATCACTGGCTATGCCCATTTAATTTTCTGATTCGGAATTCTAAAAAAGAAAACCCCTATTGTCAAATTACTGAAACAGAAAGAATATTTGAAAACTTGCTCTCGGATGTTTCGGTGGTTAGTAAAATAGTACAGTACGATAATACAAAATATGTACAGACGTACGAATATTGGGCAAGATTTTAATAGTACAGTACGTTAAAAATAAATACGAGCTTTTTACTATATCAGATATTGCTTATATAACTAGTGCTTATTACTTATAATAGACTTAATCCATACGAAGTTTTTTTTAATATATGAATTAACGCAAAGAAAAAGTATAATTGAGTTATTAAATTATAAATCTAAAAGTTCGAAGCCTATTTCAGTTACGTAATCGCTATACTCAGCCAGATCTCGTTGCCCAGTATAAATTGTATTTTAAAAAATTTTTATCGCGTAAAAAAAACCCATGTTCATTCGAAATTATCCAATGACCTTTATTATCTAATTTTACATACTATAACATGAATTTATGAATTTCGAATTTATTTTGTTTATTGAAAATTATTGATACATATATGTGATAAACATAATAATATCTATCCATCACCTTTCTCGCAGAGCCTTAAATTACTATTGAGTTTGTGATTTACCGATGTTGTTTCAATTGATTGAAAATTTAGAATTACATTAAACAGTTAAGATCATGAGTTTTTTATAATTACATTAAGATCATGAGTTTTTATAAATTACTCTTTGAGACCTTCAAGGATTCATTTCAACCTTGTTTTATTACTCGATGTAATTTTATAAAATATTTGTTAAAAAAGGAATACTTGTTACTTTATTATAAAAACATACATCGTCACATTAATAAATATCGTCATAAACAACTAATACATTGCATCATATATTTTTAATCAAATTTTTCGGTAACTCCGTACGTAACTGATTTTAGCATATCCTTCTAATTTCTAATTATCAATAAAATTTAATAATTTCAAACTTATTTATGTTAAATTTACATCAAGAATGCCGCCCATCTTTTTAATTCAATAATAAAAATAAAAAAATTTCATATTTAGATATTTAGTCATAATAAATCTCAACAATTTATATTTTAAATTTTATTAAGGTCCGTATTCTTTGGTTTATAAAATTTTAGAGAAATTACTCGTTAAAAAAAATCTAAGGATAAAATTAATTTTAAAATTTATTAATTTACCAAATTTTCCATTCAAAATTATTAGAAAAACACGATGAAATAATCTTGAATTTAAAGAGTTAAAAAAAATAAAATAAAAAAATAGCTCTTATCAGAATATTAACGCCAACATTAGAGTACATCTTACTCATTCAGAGGAATCAGAATATTAACGCCAACATTAGAGTACATCTTACTCATTCAGAGAAATCATCATTTAAGAGCAAAGACACATGTAAAAGGGAAAATATAAAGGGAGAAAATAAAAGGAGAAAATATAAAGGGAGAAAATATAAAGGGAGTAAACTGGGCCGGACCTTTCGGACATCAAAATCCCAGACTGGCCACATGACAATACAGCGGTGGACTCACAGTTTAAGAAACAATTAAAAAAAAAATAAAAAAAAATATACTCTCCTAAATTCACTTAGCTTCTTAATACGATTTCGACGTTAGAGCGATGGCAAGCCTTCTTTTTCGTACCCGGACTAGTTTAAAATTCACTTAGTTTCTTAGTACGATTTCGACGTTAGAGCGATAGCAAATTTTCTGTCTTCGTACCCGGACTATTTTAAAATTCGTAATTTCTTAAACGTTAACTTCGTTGAGTGAATAAGGACGAGTGGAAAAAAACAACTGTATATATATATTACAGATTTTTTGTGTTACACGAAGATACTATAGATTATTATTTTATTTCCTCGGATTATTCTTCGATTTTCCACATTACTGTATTAGGTATATGGAAATCTTTGTTCAATAAAAAATAACATGCAAGAAAAAAAAAATTCTAGTTCTGATGTGAACTTTTTAGCCGAATAAACAGATATGACAGATATGACTAAATTCTTTTAGTATGATACAAAGAAACTTTTAGCCATGCAAGAAAAAAAATCTAACCGTGAGTAAAAAAGATAATAATATTATACAAGAAAAAATCTGGTTTTAACCATGAATAAACAAATAAGACTAGATTTCTTTGTAAAGAAATCTAGTATGGTCCATGCAAGAAAAATTGATGGGAAATCTAGAATCTCATCGATCAACATCACAAAAATCATGGGGTCCTACCTTTTTGCAAGCGGCTATTGAATCGTTGATTTTACATGACATCACGATCTGCAGAGACCACATCTTTTTGCAAACCGCAGTTTTGTTGCCAACTTTTAGCCGTGATAATTTAACACATGATTCTGACATGAGTTTATTTTAAACATGTAATATTAATATATAGCAGCTATATAAATAATATATCAGTAATTCATAGGAAGACTTTCGTATGATTGGCAGTTTAAATCAATTTAATTTTACATTATTTATACAGTTTAAAGTACTTTTTAAAAAAAATAAAACTACGAAGAATAAACAAAAAAGAAGTATATAGAAAGTTTTATTAGGGTTGTAGGACTCCACTATTAAAAAGTATCTCCATCCCTTTTTGTTTTAGAGAAGTTAGCATGGTGATAACCTAATTCTATCTATCTTTAAGAAGTCGCTATTATGCTAACTTCTCTAAAACAAAAAGGGATAGAGATACTTTTTAATAGTGGAGTCCTACAACCCTAATAAAACTTTCTATATACTTCTTTTTTGTTTATTCTTCGTAGTTTTATTTTTTTTAAAAAGTACTTTAAACTGTATAAATAATGTAAAATTAAATTGATTTAAACTGCCAATCATACGAAAGTCTGTGAATACAGTAATATATCAGCTATACGTATAAATAATATATAATAATAAAAATTTCACTGCACTTGTTATACAGGACCCTATTAATTCCTTTTTTTGTTTGCACCATTAACGAAGTAAGATTTCACGTGACACCATCGAAATTAATGCATGATGTTAAAATTCCAGTCCGGTCCGACTCGACTCCAAAGAATTGCAAAAAAAAAAAAAAGTGTATTAATGCATACTTTTTTGCATGCGTACTCAGTTCTTTTCAGTACTATATTAATATGCAAGATGCACGTACAATGCGAATCGAGTCCCAAGTTTGACTTGAGACCGGACTTTAACAAAAACTCAAGACTCTTTGGAGTCGAGTCGGACCGGACCGGACTTTAACATCCCTACATACTTGTCGCGGCTGATCATTTCCATTCAATAGCTGTTGATAAAGAAGTAATGGATTTCATTGGGAGATGGTTATACCTTCGCTTTAGGCAACGGGAATGGAAGTAGTAGATTTCAAAACATATTATTCGGTAATGATGGCTCCCAATATACTTTATTATGAACTCAATAATCAAATACTGTATGAATTTATAGTAATTTATATTATAATATTGTATATACAGTATATACATAAATTTTAAATTACATAAATTACTGTAATTATCTGTATCTTTTTATACTCGGCTAACAAATATATTGATTGTGACCCAGATAATATATGGCGAACGCAGACGTCTGGTGAACCCTGTTCGGGTAATGTCTAGACAGATTTGATTGTCAAGAGCAACTGAGTAACTTATTGGGTGTATAAATAACATCAGTCTAATTACAAACATATATAATGATTCATTACTCAAGATTTTTTAGAGTACTATAGTCTAATAAACTGCAATAACTCTTGAATCATTAAAACCTACACAAATAAAATTAGGGTTCATTATAACGTGCTTTTAAAGTAATAACGTTCTTTTTTTTTTTATTTTTATGGTGTGTGATACCAAAATTCTCATTTTTTTTGATGTGACACGATATGTAATAGCCACGCTTTTGACGGTTTTATTACTTACAAAATAAAATAAAAAAAATAGTGTAATTTTTTTTTATTTATGTAGGTTGAGTTATTGCAGTTTATTAAACTATTGTCGATCTGCAGTACTCTAAAAAATGAGGGGTGGTCAATAGAAACCAAGCAAATTTATTAGATAAATTTGCTTGGTTTCTATTGACCACCCCCAAATCTTGATTAATCCTAATTGAGTTCTTGAAAACCTGTGAGTTTTCCGGGTGTTGTGTTTAATTTGAATTTATCAGGAAGCGGAGCCGGCAAAAACCGAAATTACAGGTTTCTAAATGCAATTATACTATTATAAATTTCAAGTTTGGATCTTGGTATGCTTGATTGATGAGATACCAACATCGTTAAAAAAAATCTTAGCATGTAAAACTCTAAGCTTTAGATCTAGAACAGGGCTAAAACGACACATAAGTTTCATTTTTGATTCATATTATATTAAAATTTTATTACTCGTAAATTTGATGTATCAAAAACGATACTTCAAATAGCCTAGGGATTGATTTTTATTGATTTAAATCAGGTGACGTTTTAGTTCTGAATACAGTATTTGTATGCGACGTTTAGACATATTTAAATCATAAGCATCACCTGATTTAAATCAATAAAAATCATTTTTCTGCCATCTCTACTCTAACCCTGATCTAGAGTGACACTTTTGATAACCATTTGACCTCACTATATAAAAATATGCTGCTAACTGTGAATCACGTTTATTAATAAAATCTACTTGTGTCTTTTGATCCATGACCTATGCTGTTCTCGATCAGTTGACTTTTGTCAACAACCCGAATTTTATATTATTAAATAAATATGCTTAATATAAATCAAAAGAAAGATTTAATTTATCATTAGATGGACCTTCAAAAAAATTTGGTCCAAGTTTTGAACTTGAGTATGTTTGTTGTTATGGTATCAGAGTCAACAAGGATGAATGCAAGCTTTCGAAAATTATCAAAATGCTAATGTTAGTCATGTTACGAACGTGATCGAAGTCAATAAGACAAACACAAGATATTTATTTATTTATTTATTAGAAAACCGCAAAAATGTGTTATGTTAAAGAAATATAGAAGCATTAGTGATGTCCCATCTACTCAGTATAATTATAAAGATCGTTGAACTACGTTCCTGGTTTTAGTGCGACAGCATCGCGCAGTTACCTTATACTGTATTTATTTTATTTTATTTTACTGTAAAGAAAATTTTCTGAATTTTTGATTTTGCCTGTTGTGTAACATTATACCACAGCAAAAACATAATTGGTTAATCTCATATAACAATACGATCAATATATAAAATAGTTCTCACAATCAATTTGTCGATAGGGATCACATCATTTTTTATACTGTAAAATGGTTGAAACAAGCAGCAAAAAGAAAAGGCAAACAATCCTTTTTACTTCTAGATTAAATGGGAAAGAACCATTAGTTAATCCTACTTACACTCCTAATGTAAGCACCATTAAAGATCAAACCTGGCCGGAATTTCTTTTATATTTGAAAAAACACAAGGAACAACTTCAAATCAATATGGAATGGGAAGAATTTTATTATAGAATAAATCATGTAAAAGCAATGTATAAGCAAATTATGGAATTTGATGAAAATTTACGAAGCAAGAAGATTAATCAAATGATTAAAGATTCAATACCTAATTATAAAATTCTTAAAAGCAATTTATGTGAATTTTCTCGTTGGAAAAGATTTTATAAATTAACTGTTTTGCTAATAGAAGATCCCGTATTAAAAGAAAAAAACATTCCATTGGAATTTTGTTTTCAGAAATTTAGTGGATTGGGACTTACAGTTAATTATTTGTATGAAGTAGATGAAGAAGAATACAAAATTTTTTTGAAAAATTTTGTAGAATGCTGTGTTGAAATGTATAAAGAAATATTAGGTGTTAAGATTTTAGGATAAAGATTCGTAATTCTTTATGTAATTCTTTGGCATAAAATATATGATTGTCTTATCGATGAAATTGTTTACTAATGAAATTACATTAAGGTTATATTAAAATAAATATGATTCATTGGAGCTAAGCTTTTATCTCATTTAATGAACCAAATTTTTTGGTTTTCATTTTGTATCGCCCAAGTCAAAAATAATAATTTACATTTTTTGATTGACGTATCTATTGCCACTATTTAACTTAACCAACCAATAGAAAATTTTGCTAATACAAAAATGCTAAGAAGGGTGTAAAAATATTTTTGTACACTGATATAATATTTTCGATATTCTCATATTCTCGACATGCTAAAATATTTTTGGCATAATAAAATATTTTCGCTATGTTAAATATTATCGATATTTTGACAGTATGTACAGTAAAGCACAGTATATATAGTAATGATAAGAGACCATCAATGTTGCACAAAAGTCGGTCAATAGATCTTCGTCATTCTATTGACCGACTTTTGTGCAACATTGACGGTCTCTCTTACCGTTACTACTCAAACGGTCCTTTACATAATCTTTTAATTTATCTATCGCTATGGACCTTCCAAAGTATGAAAATTTTGCTGAAGGATCACGACAGGGTATCCGAATTCATGGCTGGACGATTTCAACTACTAAACTTCCAATTTTTAACTCACAAGAAATTGATCGGTATTTCAAATTTCAATTAACGTGTTAAATATTGTTATATACTTTGCCTTTCAATTCTCACCTCTTTTAATACAGCTTACAAAAACAAATTTCGATTCCACTTCCTGAAATGTTTTTTGGCAATAATAAGTTACAAGTAACAAATGAACATGGTATTATTTTTGAATTATCACCAGTGGATGCGCTAAAATTTATTGATGCAACAAAAGAAGGTGGAGATAGAGTGAAAGTTGCATACTCTGAAGAATGGAAGCATAAAAAGTGTGTTTAAATTAAATTGTAAAAAAATTGGTTTAGTAATTGAGATAAGGTTGAACAAAGTTTAATTTTTTGGTTTCCATAATACGAAGCTTTTAAATAGACCCAACCGGCCGGCTTATGAAAACCAATTAATTAATTTTGCATGGCCTAATTAATGCATTAGATTTTATTTAATAGTGCCAAAAATCATGGACATATCAAAGATGTAGTCAAACCGTATGATTGGACATATTCTACTTCGTATTCTGGCACATTATTATATGGACAGGTATATTATAATTATTTATGAATGGCTTTTTTTAATCTGAAAATTCTCTGTTATTAACTTGATAACTTTATTTTTAATAATTATTATTAGCAGGATTTTGAAAAAACTATTGATAGAATTGATGTGGAAAAACTCAAAATTCCTGAACCAATTTTATTTTACGATGAAATTATTTTATTTGAGGATGAATTAGCTGATAATGGAACTGCGTTACTTAATGCTAAAGTGGTGAGTTTTACATCACCAAAAAAGCTGACAAAATATTCACTCCAAATAAATATTGAAAGAAATAATTAAATTTTATTAAAGATAAGTTCTGTAATTGTCTTTATTAATTATTTTCTTTTTAATTAAAATTCATTAATTATTTTCTTTTTAATTAAAATTCATTAATTCGTCCATTTTAACTTATTATAGCGAGTTATGCCATCTGGATTTTTTATACTACAACGATTCTTCCTACGCGTTGATGAAGTACTATTTCAGCTGAACGAGACAAGGATATATCATGAGTTCGGTACAGAGTATATATTAAAAGAGTATTCTTCAAGAGAGATTCCTTATAGTAAAGTTAAAGCGGTATGTCATATTCTCATAATCGCAACTATTAGAACTTAATTGACTAAATAATTTTAATAATCTTATGTTAATAGCAAATACCAAAAAGTAAAGGCAACGATATATCACAACTCACGGATCCAGATTGGGTATCTTCTAAATTACCAAAATCGAAAGAACGTGATTTGATATTGGAAAAATTACGCGTTGTTCCCTTACTATCGTGAAATGAACAGGTTAGAACTTATTAAAAGGTAAGTTATGGATGTAATTATTGTAGATATGGATAGTATCGTATAAATAGTGTTAAACGATATGGAATTCTAGATTATGCATTATTTGTTCTTAGTAAATCTCTTTACTGGTATATATTTAAAAATAATAATAACAATAATAATTTTTAAAATAAATTTGTTTTAAAAAAAAATCAGCTTTTTACGATCAATTCGTAACATTAGTATAGGTTCCTAAATTGGTAATCTATACTATGTATTAATTACTAGATTTAGTTATTTATTAATTAGTATATATTGTAATTACCTTAATTCCCCCGATGTTAGAAGAGACCTTTGAACTCTTCTCCTAATAAAGAGAATTATCATAAAATCGTCCTTATAAATGAATTGTCTATCTAAATATTCTTTCATGATGCTCTCCCAACTAACCGGTCGGCCAATTTTTTGATAAGTTACCGAGTCGGTCATCATAATAATGAAAACAGTTGTACGTAAAACAAAATATTTTTTTTAGAAGTTTCCAAAATTAGACTCGGCTGGGTTATCGCTTATCGTTATAATTAATTTCATGACTAGAGGTTATATCTGGATAAGGATTGCCCGTATAAGCACTCTTAACAGGATAGCAATTTTACTAACCGGTTAACTTGGATAACACGGCTTTAGCGATTCAAAATTTCGAGAATTTCAAGAACCTTTGGATCTGGCCAATAATTCAAGTAAATGTGGCCCGAATTATAAAATTTAATTCATTAAAATATTTGATATAATTACGCATTAAAAAATAAAATACTAAGTATATAAAATTAAAATTAAAAATCTAAAGATAGTTTATAATAAATAAACATTTGGATCTCAATTTATAATTATTTTTCATATAACAAAAAAAAAATAAAATAAAATAAATAAAATCTATTATCATCTGGTACTTATCATGTAAACATTTTTTGAATTTCTTCAAGTGATCTACCAGCAGTTTCTGGTATAAAAAGATATACGAACCACCATGTTAATATTGTAAACATTGCAAACATCCAGAATGTTCCTTTGAATTAAATAAAATTCATTAATAATATATTATGATGTTAAGTGAAATTAACTTTATAAAAATATTTTTCAAGAAAATACCAGGAACTGTTATAATTCCTGCTAGCGGCAGGAATAATATCCCGACTAAAAAGGTAGCTGCCCAATTCGCAGCTATAAATTATAAATAAGTTAAAAAAAATTTCATAAAAAAAAAAGCTCATTTATCCATTGTTTATATACTTTAAAAATGTTTACCAGATGAAACTCCTACACCTCGACCACGTATACTCAATGGAAGTAACTCGCTTTGCAACAAACATGGAATATTTCCAAGACCCAATGCATACGCTAGGTCAAATAATCAAAATTAAATGGTAACTCAAATATAAATTCTTAATATAATAATACATACCCATCAAGGCAAATGTTAAAGAAGCAAGCACGAAATAGCGACGATGATTATCAGGGCAAGAATCATAAACGTTGTTTGGTTGAATAGAATTAACTTTTACAACACAAGTTCCACCATTCTGTTTACTAAATGAACATCGTCCATCAAATAAACACCCATTACAATTATCTCCATAATCTGAACATGTATCTAGTTTGATAGAAAATCCTGTAATAAAAATAAATGCAATTCCAAGAAGGAATAAACCAAGGATTGTTGCAATCAAAGTAAATAAAAGCAATTTACGACGACCAACTTTGTCAACTAGATATAAGCTCAATGCTTAAACGAAAGTAATATTTAAATAAGTTCCGAGCAATTAAGTATATAAATAAGTAAACATATTTGTGTTATACCTGTCATAAGTGAATATCCTGCATATACAACAAGGGAAAGTTTTAAAACGTCATTCACACTATTATAACCAGCCATACTTAAGATGACAGTCTAAAAATAAGTATTAATAAATAAATATTTCTATGCTGTACACGTATATATATCATAATTCTCAAATATCAATTTATTCTATACTTACACTAAAATATGTAAAAGTATCAAAACCACAAAATTCTTGTAAAGTAATTATCCCAGTTACAATTAAGAATGGCTTTAAATTAGGGTAACGTAACAAATTTATATAAGAACCCTTAGAATCTTGAGCTACTACTGAACGAATAACCTCAATTTCTAAATAATAAAAGAATGAATAATTTATATTATAAATTTCATCTTACACTGTAACAGATAAAAAAGATTTATTACCTTTTTCCAAAAATTCATGAGGTGAATTGGGATAAATTTTGCTCAAAACTTTCTTGGCTTCCTCAAAGTTACCTTGTTTCACCAAAAATCTTGGAGTTTCAGGAATAAATAATAAACCTAAAAGGATTAATTTGTTATACAAATCAATTATTAAAATATAATTTTAACAAAGAAATTTTGTATTCAATGCACCATACCAAAAAGTTGTAATAATGGAGGAATAGAAGCAACAGCAACCATCCATCTCCAACCTCCACCATTTGACTCAAATATAAGTCCTACCAAGACGGCAATAAATATTGCAAAATTATTTAGTAATATATTATAGCTAGCTAACTCTCCGCGATGAAATTTCGGTGAAATTTCACAAATATATAATGAAGCGATCATATTTCCAATGCCAATAGCAAATCCATTTATTAATCTGCTAATCAACAGAACAGGGAATGTTGATGAAAAGGCCATCAATAATGAACCTAATATGAATAAAAATGAGGCTAGATAAATTGCAGACTTTCTCCCAGAAAAATCAGCAAGCCAACCTAATCATTTATTTTTAATTAGATAAAAACATTAGATACTGTATTTATTTATGATTCTTGTTACTTGTTAGATCTATTTACCAGCACCCAGCGCGCCAATCGTACCACCAAATGTTGATGCTAAAATAAATGAATAATTTTTTAATATAAAACTTTTTTTTGATATTCAAGCATTTATATGAATTTATACCTCCAACAATCGAGGTTTGTCTAAACTCAGTTAAGTTATAGTCTTGTCCAAGCATTAACAATGAATTACCAATAATACCTGTATCATATCTATATTAAAATATTATATTATTTAATAATTAAATGATATCATATAAAAAATATATTAAAATATAGTATATACCCAACTTCAAATCCACTCAAAGATGCCACTAAAACAGCAAAGTACAAAAAAGGTGTGACTTTTGTTCTAATTTCAACCTCCCTAAGTGTTGGATCTGTTGAATCCTCTAAATATTGACGTTCCTTTAAAAGATCAGATTTATTTTTTTCCATTATAAATTAAAAATTTGCTGCTTTAAGACACCATTTTTTTTTTTACACCCTCTTTTGATCGTTATTTATACCAAAAAAAAAAAAAAAAAAAATAGAATTTCCAAAGTTTTGATAAATTTGTTAAAAGTGTTAAACATTCTAACAGGCTAAGCCGTCTTTGGCTGGCTAAGTCAGCTAAGCCGGCTAATCAAACCCGTGATCTGGTTTCGAAAAGAAAGAATCATCGTTCGAAATTTGCATATTACCCCGGATCCTCATTTTATAAAAGTCTCATTCCAAGTCTCATGTTATCACTATAATATAATTAAATAATTAAATTCACATGTTCCAAATCCTAAATTTCAAATTAATATTTAAATAATAATTAAACTTAGATTCGGGTATATATCTCATATCCCATAGCATGTAAATCTTTCTCAATCATATAGCTTTACTTGTTTCTTCTTTCTGAAAGATTTAAAACTCTAACATAACATAATGACATATGTATGTATAATGAAGCTTGTCTTTCGCCTTTTTAGAGAATTCGGATTATTATACGTGGAGTCTTATTTAAGTTTCGGAGAATTCATGGAACTAGGATAAAGTGAATCATTTATTAGATTTTATCAAATGATCCAATCAATCACTAGAACCAAGAAGATGCTTAAAGCTACAATGATGAAAAAAAAAGTTCAAGATACAGCATTAAAATATTAAAATGTTGACAATGGCAATAACGATAATCAGCGCTATTTTTTGTGATACAGTCAAACCTCTTAGGTACATGCTTTAAAGACAAAAAGATGAATAAACCGGTACTACTACATGTAAGATTAGGCATTAAAATATAGTTAATCGGCTTTATGTCGAGCGAAATGTTTGAAGCGTTTATAAATTCTAGACATAATCGAAATGAATAAATTTTTAAGTGAAATTTTAAATATTAAAATGAAGTGTTTAATGCTAACATCATAATATAATTCAATAAAATAATTTCAGTAAAAGTCATTTTTTAATCTCGATATACTGTATATTAAAAAAATAGACATAATATATATATATATATATATATATATATATATATATATATATATATATATAATATAAAATATAAAAAATATATATATAAAATAAAAATATACATATAAACGAATTTAATTATTAGATTTCTAGTTTATATTATTAAAATTTGTAAGATTACTAATTTTTTATCGCAAAATCAACACGGTCAACGCTTTCAAGTCATTTGAAGGAAAATCTTGCAGCTTATTTTTTAGCAATGCAAGTGCGAGATTTTTTCTACTATTCTCGATTCCCATATATTCGTAATAAAGTAACCGTAGCTACTGACGTTACCCGGATAGGTTACCCGTACAGTTACTTAACGCTCATTAAAAAAAATTTTTAATAATATAATTAACAATATATACTATATATATAAGTTATATATATTTAATAAATTTTACCTATTTTGATTAAAAAGCCCTTTTATCATGTAGTATGTTAATTGCGTTCTTTACTGGGAGGGTATAAAAAATAAGTTTCTAGAATTGATCGAGGATAAAACATCGTCGCGTTGGAGTAAAAGTGGTTTTCCGGTTAAAAAACTCACATCTAATCGAAGTAATAGTAATAAAGACATAAAATTATAAAATTGATTTTAAATAAATTACAATAATTGGTTTGGCTATTATTTGGATGAAGTAGGGTAGTGTGTTATTAACAAGGTGTGAATGCATGAAAAAAAAAGGCGATTACTAACTCTTATACTTCCTTTGCCACTTCTAAAATCATTATATTCGTTAAATTTAAGTAGACCTTTCGAAGATAGTGGCATGTCTTGGTTGTCTTTTTCATGAGGGGCAGCATCAATATATCGATTAGTTCATTATTTAACGGCGGAAGGTCCTGTGTTTTAACTTACCCTGATTATTCTTCAATATTTTATTATTTTTTAAAATGCGAATTGGCGAACTTTTACTCTTCACTATTTAAATGTTCGATCGATTGAAATTATATGTTGAAATGATCTATAACATAGTGTGTACATAAATAAAGAGAATAGTTGAGTAATTCACCTAAGACTGGAAATCACTTGAGGAGAATGCTTGAAGTCCCAACAAAAAAAAACAATTACAATATTTCGCAAATTTGACGCCATAGCCAGGAAAGAAAACATAAAAAAATTATTTTCGCACGTCCTGTCGCCAGAAGTTTATTGAGTGTAAAAAAAATGAGGATATGTATAATAACAAATCTATAGAGAAAATTATGAACTTATATATATCTACTTTTTTTTTATTCGGGTTTGTGATTTTTTTATTTTTTGTAGGTAAATTCCCTTTTGTTATTTCGAATGATGATATGAAAAAGAATTAATAATTAAAACGAATATAAAGAAGTTAATAAAAGGCATATATAAAAGCAAAAGAAATTACCGGTCACGAAAAGTAGCGACCAGGTCCGCCACATCGTCCTCGTCAAGGGACAAGCGGCCGCTAGATCTAAATTACATTAAAAGAAAATTATGAGCAAGGATCATAATAATACATACTAAACACTTTTCTTTTTTTTTTTGTACGTACTGCTTGGACTTGAGGTGATGTTGTTGGTTGTTGTCTGACACTAAAATAAAAAAAAGAAATTAATCTTTGTTTTTATTACTAAAAATTGTATTTTTTAAATATTTTAGAATTTTTGCAAAATTTTTTTTTTAAAAAAAATTGTACGTTACATATGTACGTATTTATAAAAAATCTGCGTAATTGTTTTTAAGATTTGTTAATCATTTCTGATTGGTGTGTACCATTGATTTACGCGTCAAAAATGCCATAGTAGGTATACTATAAATCGCTAATAAATATAATTAAAGAAGTTCTTTTCTTTAAAATTTAGTTTATATAGGGCATTCTCAAGTGACTCCCTCAATGACTTCGATAAAGAATCTGATTAGTCAGTTTGATCAAATAAACCATCAGACTTTTTGTTGAGTCTATTGAGGAAGGCGCTTGAGAACGCCCTAAGACTGGGTACTATGAGATATACTACTGTAACTTGACTTGAATATTAAATCTTACACTATAAACCTAATAAATAAACACTATATTGCCTAAATTTTATTTAATTGTTCGTTTACAATTGTAACGGTATTACAAATAGTAGTAGAGTATGGTTCAGTAAAGTAGTGGAGTAATGCTACAAAAATCGCATTTGAGTATATAAAACTTGTATACTATACTCATAATATGTATTACATATAAAATAGTATAGTCGTAAACTATTTAATTATATGTGACCTCACGAAAATTCTACTGTAATTAAAATATAACGATATGTGACAGTATCCCAAAAAAGAAATAGAAGTGTTTAAAAAAATGAAGATTTTGTGGGATTGTATACTCTCACAAATTAAGATCTTACGAGATAGCTTTATTATGGCGATGCGAAAACTATTGTTATTATTTCAAACTTTTCTCACATGCAATTATGCTGGTTTACCAAGTTCTTTGAGAATTGTTTTTTGACAAATCCAATTATTTGTTGAATGTCTTGAGATGATAACATAGAGTGCTGTGTTTTATAATATAAGAAATATTTCCGAACTTTCTATTTCAGGTGAAGATCTAGAAGTTTGAAAACCTATCTTCAAATATATCATTGATTTCAAAATTCTCAAAGTTTTCATTAAAAGAGTTGTTTTATTAAAAGAATTATTTTCTTCGAAAAAATTTTCATACTCAGAAGAGCTACTAATCGATAGGATAGATTTCTCATCAGAACTAATATCATTCGAAGGTATCATCAATTCATTAATAGACATTTTAAAAGCGATTTTTAGAAAAAAAAACATCGTTACGATCATTGAATTTGCTATTTGATAGCCATATTGGACTTCGGGCTTTTAAACTATCAAACAAACTCTAAATATCAAATTTTATAAAAATTGGACCCAATATTATAAGTTTAAAAGCCCGATACTTTACTTTTCTTTAAAATCGCATAAATTTTATATACGTTTGCATACTATACACAATATATTAATTTATACGTAATAGTAACCTCATCAATCATACACACGTGTTTGCTAATTTAACATATTATACTCCACTACTCTACTAAACCATACTCTACTATTACTCCAATTGAACGGCATCCACACTCTTTTAAACATATATCGTTATAGCCAGGCTAAGAATGTGATTATTTATAATATTTTAAAAGAGCATCTTCCTTAATGGGCTCAACAAAGAATCCGATTAATCTTGTTTATAGTATTAGGTATTGTGTATTCATCAAGTGTTGTAAAATATATATATATATCAAGAGGATAATTCTATTACAAGTGTAATTTTAACTCGTAATGATGCAATGATATCGTGAGAAGCCATAACGATAAGCCACCAAATCATAAATACAAAAGGTAATCATTTTGTACTATATTATTAAAATTTTGAATCAGTTTTATTTTTTTTTTTAAAAAAAAATCTTTTATCAAAAAAACTATTAATCAAAAAGGAAAACATTAGTTTAATAAAAAGCAAAAAAAAAAAGGAAGTTGATATGTTTATGTGAAAAAATGGAATTGAAGATAAAGTAAATTCTATTATATCGTAGTTGTTCTTGTTAAGATCCACTCCAATGAACCAGGCAAGATCCAGATTGATGATTTAAAAAATGAATTCGAGATGCTTTATATAAACAAAAATACATAGAGAAACTTGAAAAAAAACTATTTGAAGGAAAATAATTTAAATATTTCATTTTAAGAAGTTATATATTTTAAAAGGTTTTTTACCCCAACTTATACAAAAGTAGCAACTCTTAATGATATGATTGTATCTATTAAATCCTTCTTTATCCGTATCATGGTTTAGCACAAGGCAGAGTATGTTTAATTTTATAATATATATTTCATTTTTCTCAAAAATTATGAATTTTTTTTAGACTCCATTATGAGAAAACATTTTGCAATAGTCAATAGTTGAAATCTGAATAATCACTACCAATTGCTGTTTTGACAATAAAGAGCAGTCCATAAATGTCTTGTTTACCGAATAAGCTCGTGGAGAGATTAATATCATTGAAATTTATTTATACTGTACGTATTTAAAAAATAAAAAATAATCTAAATTAATTTTTTTGTTTTGCATTATATTGCCTTGCAAAAACATGTCGTTAGAAGCAATAAAATCTCTAAATCTAAAGGAATAATTTGACAATGACAGCAAAGTGATAATTACATCTGTGTTAATTCTATAGTACATATAGCCCATGGCAAGGATTATGATGAAGATTTCTATAATTTTAAAAACATATAAAGTTTTTTATTTCAATATAAACTAAGCACGTTATTATATGAGTGTGCTGGTTGGTATATAAAAAGCGATAGGCGTAGACTTCGAATTAATAGAGATTTAAACAGCCCCCGAGGAATTTCTTCAAGCTTTCTTGATGGAGCCATAGCTATACAAAACATAGCTATGTTAATACTGTAGATAGATATTGTACCTGAATAAAATTTTTATTAAAAAGATAGTGTTTACTCGAGAAACCCAGATATTTAATAATACTCAGGTAACGATTTTTTCTACGGATACAATCTCTATTATGCTAATTGATTGATTATGGTTGAATACTTTTCAATCTATCTGGTAGTTCTTATATTCGAACGATATCTACAGTCCTAGGTGTCGATGTATATACAGTATAATATATGCTGTGGGAAAAGAAGAGATGTGCCAAAAAATTGGATTTTTAATTTTATAATAATTTTACTCTAAGCAACCAAGATATTGAATTTTTAAAAAAATTATTTCTTTTTTTTGTGGGGTGTCCCATATCTTGATGTGTCTTGTGGTATTTTTTTTTAAATAACATAGTGATGCACCAAAATTTAGGGATTTAATAGAATTTTATAAATATCATTTTAATTAAAGCGCAAAACATTATTATCTATTGTACCTGATCTTAAAAATTTCAGTTTCTTTTCTTCAATTTAACCACTTTTTAAGAATACATGATAATATCTGTACAGTTATGTTTTATAAATCGAATATACTTTACATACTACTTTTTATATAATTCATATAAAGGAACGCATATGTAAATATTAGTTGATAAATATTGATATCGAAGCCCTAAACATATGGGCGGAATTTTTTGATTTGAGTGATGATTAAAAATTAATAATAGTTTATAAAATTTGAATAAACCATAAAAACAGAAAAACACAGCATGTAGGGGGAATTGTCCGCACATGTGATTCCGGGCCTCTGATCGATCATTGATCCGATCTTTGATCCGATCATCAATAATCATACAGTCATATCGATATTATTAATAACTCATATCATTTAATTAATCAAGCGAAAAAATTTATTTTTCATTTAATTAATCAATTAGGTCATATTTTTTTACTTCAATTTTTTGAATTTAAGCGAACTTTTGCTGTTCATTGTATTATTTTTTTTCATATGGGTTACTGTACTACATGCAATAATCGCTTACCCGAAGAAGCCTTTATTCATAAAGGCAAAATTAATAAAACATGTTCCGATTGCTTAGACACAAGGTTAAAAAAGAGAAAATTAAAAAATCAATCTTTATCCGATAATATTGAGTATGAAAATAATGAAGTGGTTTATGATCATGTTTCTTTTACTAAAATCGTTGAGTATGTTTCTAATAAGGAAGCTAATATTGGAGTAAATGATATATTATCTTTCAATACTTATATCGAACTTGATGATCTTGTATTGAATACTGCACATCAAGATGCAAAAAGTACTGTAAAATTAATAGTAGACGAAATTGAAGGATTTGATGGATATGATTGGGTTTTTACAACTGGACCTGAAATGTCATTACGCCACAATGGTGTTGGTTTATTTTACCTTTTATGCTCACAATGTCAGGAACTTGAGCGTGAGCATAAAGAATCCAATCGAAAAAGAACTGTACGTTTTGATTGCCATGGTAAACTAACAATTCGTATTGATATACCAGCAAAAGAGGCAATAGTGAGGTTTTGGCATAATATTCAACATGAGAAACCTATTGATGTAACAACACCATTAGAAGTAAAACATGAGATTATGCAAAACCTTCACTTGGATCCCATACAGTTACGAATACATCTTCGCCAAAAATTCAATATTTTACTTACCACTAATAAACAAATACATTATTGGTGGTCAACATATTGTCAACGTTTATACAAATCAGATGATCATATAATTTCTGCTCATAAGTTTTTTGAAGGATCTAATACTAAGGCAATGAGCTTTGTTTTGATTGGAACACTAATATAGTTACGGCTATTGGATTTGTAACTCCTTTATTTTTTAAATTGCAATCATTATCAAGTGTGCACTGTGATGCAACTTACAAAACGGCCAAAGGCCATTTTGAACTCTATGGAATTATTGGAAATTTTGAAGAAACAGGTTTTCCCATAGCTTATCTCGCTTTAAATACTACAAAAGCACAAAATAATGAAGAACAATCAGGGCTACGGACAATGGCACTTACTGGCTTTTTTAATTCACTTCGTGATAAAGGATTACAACCACGATACTTTTATACTGACAAAGATTTTTCAGAAATCAATGCTGCGAAGGAAGTGTGGCCTCATGTTGATATACAACTCTGTTTATGGCATATAGAAAAGGTTTAGTTATTATTATTATTATTATTATTATTTGTTTAATATACATACTATTAATTATTGTTGTTAATTAATATATAATATAGTAAAGGCTATTAGGGAAAAACTTAAAAGCCATAAAGCCAGATGATGCAATAATAGAGTTTGATTTTATTGATTCTGCATTTAAACCTAATCTTGAACATACTGAGCCTGAGTACTATGCTATATGTCCATTATATTTACGAGATAAGGTTATAAATATGGTTAGAAAGCATTTTAATATGCATCCAAAAATTCCAATTAATGCTATTGGGCAATTTCTTACAGCTAATGAAATCCGAAGAAATGCAGTTCATGAAATTTATGAATTTTGTGTTGAGAATAAGCTTATTTTACTCTGGGCATATATGTGGCAGTCATGGTATAAATTAACAAGATGGGTGCTCTGGGCCCGTTCAGTACGAATTACAATTCCATTATGTAAAACTAACATGCTTGTTGAATCCCATTGGAGGGTTCTTAAGCATTGTTACCTTTACAGATTTAATAGACCACCTTTTTTGGATTATTTGTACACGTGTTGTTCCTGATTAAATTATTCAATTTAATCAAATACAATTGGAACGAATTGCACCCTCATGGTTTAATGAATTTAAAGATAATTGGAAGCAACTTATAATGAAACCAATTTCTGATAATGATGAAGATCGTTATTTTGTAGACTTAAATCGTTGGATTTGCAGTTGTAATGCATTTCTTTGTAGCCAATTTTTTCTTTGCAAGCACCTGGTTCATTGTGCTATTAATAAAGTAAGATTAACTGATTCACAAGATATTCAATTACTATACAAAAATTTCTAGCAGCGTGAAGATTATCCCTTTCTTGTATATGATACCAAAAATTTACAAAGTATATTTGAAGAAATAAATATATCTAAGTCTTCAATTTCACAGTCAGACATTTTGAGTGGTGAGTATTTTGAAACAGATGAAGATAGTAATATTTCCGACTTAGATACACGGCATGTTTGTGAGCTCAAAGTAGCAGCTGTGCGACGTATAGCAGAACATCTTGAAGAAGAACTTGCAGCCAATAACTTGAATCATATTACAAGAGTTGTTGATAAGTTAGACCATCTATTTACGATGCTAGATGATATTGAAACAGCACAGCATAGACGGCTACGAAGTCAAACATGGCGTGGATCAAAACCATGGACTTTATTTTTGCAATAAAATATAAGAAACGTGAACTTATTTTTGCAATAAAAAAAAAATATAGACTTTGCTTTCACGATAAACATATAAGATCCTTTATATTTAAGGTTATGTGTAGTTGGATCTTGCTATTGTGGTTTATAAAACACAATAAACTTCGTTAAAAGTTTTTTTAGCTTTTAGTAAAATTATTTGAGTCTTTTAATAATAATACAGCCAGTTTAATAACTTTATTGTACGTATATGTAGAACAATGTATTATTGTAAAATTCCTTATTATTTTTTAACGCATAATTAGCGCATATACTTATTAACACATATTGATATCGAGATGGATATTCTAAGTTCTATTTTCCGGACTAATCGGACCAAAGATGATGATCGGACGATCACATGTGCGGAAAACTCCCCCTACACCCTGATGCTGTTATAAAAACATGATAAAATTAATCATACGAGTATTTGTTGCATCCTTGCTTACATACCGAAAATGTGTACAAGGTTGCACTCCGGATGTCGGTTCGGATGGCTACTTCAGAATTCATTACTAATAGACTTACGTATGTTGAAAATACTGTAAATTCTTATTGAATAGAAACTTTTTTTTTAACAAAAAAATTTATTTAATAGATTTGTGTTAAAAAACTAAAAACTTAATAATTTTATTCAATACATTTTTTTATATATGGTAGACTCTATACAGTATGACGAACCTCTCTATAATGAACTTGTTTTTTTTTCAGTACGTCAGAAAGAGTTGGCTATAATTTATTTGTAATACAATGTTAAAGAAGATTTAGATAACTAAGAAAAATTTTCCTTACGAAAATACAAATAAGTTATTTAAAGAAATTTTAGCGAATGAATAAATCTCATAGAATACACATTTTTTTTTATCATGTAAATTCATGTAATTATTAGGCAAGTTTGATTTAATGTTAAAAGAATTTGAAGAATTAGTAGATCAAATAAATAATAAATATAATTCTTTTTTATTAATGTTATGCGTAAAATAGTAACTGGACCATCACATGATCATCCGGCAATATCATTATGATATTTTGCAACATCACGACATTTAGTATATTGCGACATCATGACATTATGATGTTTTTTATTTGCAACAATTTATGCTTTTTAAATATAAAATTTAAAATATGTCGCAACCCCCATTACAGCTCAAAAAGGTCGCAAGCAATACTAATGGCGACCGTGGATGTTTCTGATCCAATGTCCGAACTATTTGGAAGCAAACGGGAAAGGGCAGTACAGTATTATTTGAGAGCAATTATACAGCCAAGTTGGTAGCCTTGAAGTTATGGGCTTTGACTAGCGAATGTTGGAATAAGGGTATAAGAAACCTGCATAACGATACTCTGTAAAGACCCATATTTGTATTTCATTGATATAGTAATACCCCCTCGATGAGGGGCAAAAATAAGTTACAATAATAATAAATTGTTGGATATGACTAGCTTTATATTGTACAGTTGCGAAATAACGAGCATGGTCATTATTTCAAAATCGGTTCCCTCAAAAATAACGTGCTTAGTTTCAAAGTAACGCGCACTTCATATAATATTACTGTATAGCAGATAGCAGATGACATACTCGAAATAATACGCAGGTGATATAAACGCAGATGCCCTTTATTTTTTCTCTAAAAAAAATTGGTAGCAAAAAAAAAAATACTAATACAGTACAGTAATATCGGAAAAGTATTTAATACTCTAAATATTACCATACTTGGTGAATATCTGTATTACTGTATGTCGCTACAAGCTAATATGTAAATGATTACTTGGTACTAGCGAACTTTATACAGTATGTAAGAGTTGGTAATAACAAAGTTTAATAGTTATCAAATTAGTTACATGATCCAAGTTATTACATGATCTAAATTTATGGTATTTCGTAAAGAAATAAAGATTCCATCTTTCATCTATATAATGAGTAATCTGTAGACTCAAAAGAAAAAATTATATCCATTAATGATTCCAGAAATTAATAAAGTTAAAAAAGTAAGGCCCATTCCTACTCGTCTCCAGATGTTAATTGCCAACTTATTATTATTGTCATTAAATGCCAATTCAGCATGACAAATCCTCGACACTAATAATGCTCCACACGCAACATGTATCCAAGTCGATGACAAGTATTTGTTAATCTCGATAAAGAAAATCGATAATAACCCTAATGGAATGTATTCCGAAAAATTTGCATGCGCCCTAACAGTTCGTTGAAGATGTCGAAGTTTGGTGTAGTCTATGTTCACGTGACTGTACGGATGTGCCGTTTTTGTTGACGAATCCACTTCAGGTAGAGATTTAGTGCGTTCTTGATCGATAAAGGCGATGAATTCGAGTATACTAAAATTGATTGTATGTAACAAGGTTATTTCAGTTTGGTAGTACATAAATCTGTGACTAAAAACTTACCCATCTCCAAGAGAGATCCGATATTTTCTCCTAAGTGATATAATTCGAAATGATAAAATCACGTAATAAAATGCAAAAATGCTCGTATAAAATGGAACAATCTTAAATGTGCCTTCCATGTTATAAGAATATTGGATGTCAAGGTTTTTTCTTTCTCTTCATTTTTTGAACTATCCATTTATATATGATTATCTTCGGCAATGAATTTACCTTTTTTAGGCATGCGGCAAGTAATTTAACCGACATCATACGTGACAATTTAACAATTATTAGTTGGAAGCATATATTATTCGTAAATTGTTACACTATGTGATGTCGATTAAATTACCTGTCGGTAGCTAAATATACCGTTTCATACGATTCAGGCATGTGCGGATCGCACAAGAAATTTTCTTATTTTAATAAGAAAGTATGTGATCATATGAGTGCGCACAAACTGAATTTTTTACACCGCATGTGATTAGTCGGAATAAAGGACAATTAATTATTCGCTTTTTTAGGTATAATCAAATCATATACGTACTAATTAATCAAATCTCAGGTTGAATCAATGAATATCGGGTGCATACCGGAGAAAGTTTCCCGATAGATTCAACCTGTGTCATGTATCAACTATTTTTTTCAAGCAATTTATACATCAAACGATTAGTTTAATATAATTAAACAAAGTTATAGTTTAAAATTTTTAATTAAATTTAAAAAAAAACTTTTTGTGTATTGTTCAAGCTAAAAAAATGATAAAAAATGAAATACAAATAAAAATTTTAATAGCTTTGTTTAATTATATTAAACTAATCGTTTGATGTATAAATTGCTTGAAAAAAATAGTTGATACATGAGATGAAGCAGTTTTTTTGAACATTAGCCTTCGCTAGTTTATTTAGCATATATATATCAAAAACCCCAGCGCACTATGTACGTATCACTATGTGTTTCATATTGTATATACGTATTACTACAGTACTATATCTGATATCCTTCTTCCAAATGAGGAACTATATAATAAAATTTAAAAGGAACTTGATACTGCATAAGTAATATCGACTTTATTTATATCTTGTGGTTTAGTAATTAGTAAATAAAGTCGATATTACTTATGCAGTAGTGCTTGTAGTCGACCATTATTTATCGACTTGACTAAGTCAATATTTAGAAATCGGCTTAGCCGGCTAAGTTAGGGTCGATTATTCTAAATTCTATTGATTAAACTTCAGAAATTATCAGAGATTTCCTCAAATTTCTGTCTCAACCTTGCTTGTATTTTATGTTCGTTGATTTTCTTTCGTAAATTTTCGGATTATACTATAAATTGGCCTAAATTTTAATATAATCCATATACCTATCATTCATAAAATTGACTAAGGCCGTTCTCAAGCGCCTATCTTGATGGATTTACAGAACGATCTGATTGGTTGAAAAATTGATTGTGATTATCACTTAGGTCAAAAAAACCTGGAGCTGCGACCACTAATTTTTTTCATAGAGCTGCGCTGATTGGTTAAAATTTACCATTGATAGAGTAATGATAAAGACCACTCAAACATATTTCTTTCATTTGATTTTTTTTTTTAATAAAATCGACGACTCAAATATATTTCTTTTATTTAATTTTTTTTTAATAAATCAAACATATTTCTTTTATTTAATTTTTTTTTATTTAATAAAACCATTGCTAAAGACACCAAAAAATTATTACAATGCTTTTTATGTTAAAAACTCTTATTGAAAATAAAAAAATCCAATATTAATATGCAAAGAATAAACATTTATCATCTTTTTGCTTTTAGTTTTCCTTCTATGAATATAAATTTTCTAACTATTATTTCTTCACCTAGTACAAGAATACAAAGCCAGAAAAGGAAAGTATTGGATGAATATATATATATATTTTTTCTCTTTAAGGTGACCTCTTTGGTCAGTGAATTTTATTATAATTAAATCAGGGTTAGTAGTATTTACAATAATTTTAACTATATATATTACAACCCGCCTTAGGACTATCTTGATTATCCTTAAGGTAAACCTGACATCGCATTACATGTCCCACACATGATAGTGCATGCTCATTCGGTAATTACTTCCCAATTAGTACATATTGTCTGCTGTCATTGTGTTCGTATCTCAAGCCATCTTTTGGAATGCTGCCATAACACAATCCATATCTCAAGTACAACCTTCCTAATTAGTCCTTCATTACTTTACTTCTGCCCTTATT